GGATGATAGACAATTACTATTACTAATGAATGAAAATAAAATAAATCTTAAATCTTTTAAGTGAACTATTCAAATTATATATTATAAAAAATGTAAAAAATAAGTTGCACATATAACTTAAATAAAAAATTATATTCCTCTTATAAATAATTTGTGATAATAAAGAAATATGTGAATGATAGACAATTATTATTACCTATGAATGAAACTAAAATAAAATCTTAAATCGCTCTTTGATCTATTATATATCTTTAAAATCTATAAATAAGTTTATATTCCTCTTATAATTAATTTGTGATGATAAAGAAATATGTGAATGATAGCAAAATATAATTAATTATGGCTGTAAAATATAAATTAATTAACTTTTATTATGTTAACAGCTTTTAAGGGTATTTCAGATATTTTGATTTAAAAAACTGTTTATCAGCACTTGTTTGCCAAACACATCAACAACTTTTTTTTAACTTCAGCACTTTTATCCAAACGCATAACTACTTATGTTAAAAATAAGTTTTAGCACTTTCAAAAATACTTTTTTAAAGCTGCTTTTATTAAGCCCATCCAAACGGGCCCTTAGACTATATAAAATATATCAAATATATTATTCCAATATTTGTAGTCTTAAAACATGTCATGTTATTCCTACATAAAGTGTCGTTAAGGCATCTCTAACCCAATTATCTTTTTTAATCTCCAAATATAGAGATCTCTATTTTTTTAAACTATCAACTCCAATTCAATTTTTAATTTTACTCTCTAAAAATGAATCTTTTTCTCTCTCTTTAATTAATATTATATTATTATTTCTATTTCATTCTTATTTTCTTATTTCATAATATAAATCTTTTATTATTTTTTTCAAATAATTATTTTATATAATTTTTAATGTGGTATAAAATTATATTTTATTCTGAACTTTTAAATAACATAAATTGCAAGAAAATATAATGTAATACATAAATAAAAGTGACATGTAATTACATAAATGCTCAATTTTCAAAATTATTACGTCGCTCCCATAAATGCTCTATTAATGCATTACAAAATTGAAAATGAGCATTTTTGTACTTAATTTTTTTTATGTCTAGCTAAACACTGTTCAAATCGGAGATTTTCATCTACCACCATTTCTATGATTGGAGTTGGAGCCTTTACGGCATCTTGAATTGGTGCATTGAGATCACGTTCATCCTCAATTATCATATTGTGCAGTATAATACATGTAGTCATTATATCATGTAGCACTTCTTTTCTCCAAAGACGTTACGGTCCTGCGATAATTGCAAAACTCCGAATGCACGTTCAACATCTTTTCAGCACGATTCTTGTTTCATCGCAAAATATTTCCTCTTTTGGGAATGAGGATCACAAATAGTTTGAACACTTTTAGACCATTCAGGATTATAACATCGACTAAGTAATAATCCATATTGTATTCTTTTCATTGAATAACATAATGGGTGGGAGACGCAACACCACTAGCAAGATGCGAAAATAAATGTGATGACTCTAAAACATTAATATTGTTATTGGTGTCAGGCAAATCAAAATAAGCATGTGTATTTCATGTATTGTATTGTATTCTTATCTTGTATTTAAATTATTATGTTATGCATTGCATTGTTATCTTGTGTTTGAATTATCATATCATGTATTGTATTTTTAAATTAAATTTTTCATCTCGCCATTTAAATTTTGTGGATTCTCTATAATGAAAATTAATAATAAAATAAAATTTTATTATTGATGAAAATTAGAGAAAAATACTATTAATTTGCATTAAAGTAGTATTGTAGTCACTTAAATTTTATTAAATATAAATTTGTAAAGTTATTCGGATTATATTAAATTAATGAATATATTAGTCCAAATAAATATTATAGATTAATATAATCAATTTAATATTTATATTCAATAAATATGAATTTAATTAAAACCCGCTCCATAAAGCTCATATGTCATGTCACCTAAATCTGATTGGCCGAAGGGAGTCCTTTTCCAATCACAACTCCTCTATTCTAAAACTATAAATAGGGGTCTCATAATTCAAAAAAGATGACCAAGAATTCTAAACAAGAAGCCAAACAAAAGCTTGTATATCAAATGCCATAAATTTCTCTACAAGTTCAAGAATTCAAGTGTTAAAGTCCAGAATTCAAGGAGTAAAAATCAAGTTCGAGAATGATCAAGATCAAGACCACCAGATTCAAGATCAAGCTCCAAGCCCTTTCATTCAACTAGAAAGTCAAGATCAAGATAAAGTTCAAGTCAAGATCAAGATCAAGTTCAAGAACGATCAAGATCAAGGCCACCGGATTCAAGATCAAGCTCCAAACCCTTGAATTCAACTAGAAAGTCAAGATCAAGATAAAGTTAAAGTTCAAGTTCAAGAAGGATCAAGATCAAGACCACCGAATTCATGATCAAGCTCCAAGCCCTTGAATTCAAGTAAAAAGTCAAGATCAAGATAAAGTTCAAGTCAAAATCAAGTGCAAGATCAAGTTATAGTCCAAGCCAAGTCCAAGTTCAAGTTCAATCCAAGATAGAGATCAAGATCAAGATAAATCTCAAGTTCATGATTAAGCTTTAATCCCTTGAATTTATATTTGAAAATGTGAATTTAGAGGAATCATATAGATTGTAACACTCGCACTTGAAATAATAAATCGATTGTTGCTATAATCTTCCATTCTAGATTATTGTTTTCTTGACGCGAATTTTACTGTCTACAAATTGTGGCACGCCTAGTGGAAAAATCTCTACCTCTCTTCTCAACTTTTCAAGCATCAAAGAATAGCAAAATGTGTTCCACTATAGAAGAACAACTAGCAAGCTTAACTAAAGCAATTGAAGGTCTGACAAAGTGCGCATAAGAACAAGATGCTAAACTTTCCAAGTTAACAAATAAGATAGATAACATGATTGAAACAAGATCAAGTCAATCACCTCTACAGCTTTCTAAAATCCAAGAAGAATGAGAGTCTTGCGTAAAGCAAACAAAGATCAAAGAGATTTATATCTCAACTGAAGGTTTGATTTCAATTGATCAATTAAAGAACTTTATCATAGAGGCTATCAAAAAAAAATCTGAGTCTTCATTCAGATCTTCTTCCATATATGCAAATCCATATTCACAAAGGATTGATAACTTGAAAATGTCTAAGCGCTATCAACCTCCTAAGTTTTAACAATTTGATGACAAAGAAAATCTCAAACAACATATAGCGCACTTTATTGAGACTTGCAATACTGCTAGGACGTATGGTGATTATCTTGTTAAAGAGTTCGTTTGATCTCTTAGAGAAAATGTCTTTGATTGGTACACATATCTTGAGCCTAATTCTATAGATAGCTGGGAGCGATTAGAGAAAGAGTTCCTCAATCGTTTCTA